GCAGGTGAGTGAGTCGGAGGCCTCCAGATAACAACCATTGGAAGAGCTGGCCTGGTGTAACTGTCCTGCAGTCTCACCCTCCTGACCCCCTGTCTATTTGGGGATCTTCCTGTCCCCACTCAGCCACCTCACTCCTTCCTGTCACCTGCATAGCCTGTGGACACTGCATTTCTTAACCCCAGCACTATCTGACGGATGTGCTTCAGACTGTGGGAGTCTGGCAGCAGTAGGGGGAATTAATATTAGAGAGCCCAGGTAGAAGCTGTGGATCCAGTAACATTATCAGAGAAACTGTGGCCATGGAAAAGTGACATTTACCTACAGCACTGTGTGTAATAAATATAACTTACTCTTCCAGTTTCTAAAGTGAGCCCAGTGTCTGTAAACGTCAGGGCTCATGTACAATAAATTAACATAATTAAAAACTAATTAGCAAAACATCACAAAAGAACTTGCTGTGGCAACACCTCTCAGGTAAGAAGGGGCTGCAGAGTGCCTGCAGCCAGCACTTAGGCCAGGCGCCCAGTAGGCTTCCAGCCCCAGGGGTATCTTCAGAAAAAGTCATACAGCAAGTAAGGACCCCCACTGTAGTTCCAACTCAATCCCAAGCCCGAGGGTGACAGCCCTCCTCAGTAGAACATGGGGGGGCCTCAGCAGGCCCTTCAGCCCCTGTGGCCAATTAGTGATGCTCCAATAATATTGGCTGGCCAAACATTGATCTAAACACTTTACCTACATTTACTCATTTAATCCTGACAACTTCGTGAGGTAGGTTCTATTCCTCTTCCTATCTTACAAATGAGGAAACTGAGCCACAAAGAGATGAAACAACCTATCCAGGCCACAGAGCTAGTAAGTAGGAGAAGCAGGACTGTAAGCCAAGGAGCCTGGCTCTGCCAGCTTTACCTAAATGCACCTGCTTCTGCTGGGCTGAGCACTGCTGGCCAGGCTTCTTTTGGAAACATGTAAGTTCCTTGGGAAAGATGAGTAAATTCTTAACCCTTCAGGGCAAACAAGCTAACATTATGTACACCCTTCTGTAGCCCACACTGACCCTCAGTCCCTGCTCTCATCTTAATGAGTGTTTACATGAGAACTATAAGTCAGTCTCACAGACACACCACTGCCTCGTCATCTTGGATGTAATGGGAGGAAGGAAAGGAGGGTGGAAGAAAGGAACGCAGGCTTCTCTCCATCTCCAGAGGAGAAAGCTGCGGCTGGGAAAGCGATGACTCAAGTCCCTCCCCCAAGTTCCGGCTCTTGTGGGACTCTGGGCCGTGACTCCAGGCCCCTTTATCCCGCTTCCTTGTGCTGCCTTTCCTTCTCCTGTCTCCCCTCCGCAAAAGTGAGGCAAAGCCCCAGTTGGCATGGGAGCTGGAAACAGAAGCACCGAGGGCATGTCCCTGCTGACCCAAAGGCCCCAAAAGCATTCCCCACTGTTGCTCAGGGCACAGGAGTCCCCACACTACCAAGGCCATATGTCCCTGGGGCTCAGCCAGCAAGGAAAGAAGCCCAGAGGCCCCTCTCTCATTGTCTGAGCTCCAGAGGGCAGCCCAGTCCCTCCTGGGGAGCACCCGGGTTTCCTAAACACACAGCATCCTACTTCGGGTTCTCTTCCTCCTTCCATGGATTTACTCCTCTGGCCAGGGCAGCTGTGGGCTCAGAAAAGAGCTGGGGAGCCCTCCAATATTCTACTCCAGGTGGCAGAAAGCTGCTAATGTTGCCTAAGAGAAGGCAAGGACTGTTTTCCTCTTCCTTTCCACCTCAATTATTGCTCCTTATATCACTAAACCTTCCCAAATTATTCAAGGACAGAGGAGCCCTAGGGGTGTGGAGAAGACTGGAAACAAACTTCTAAGGCTGACTTCAAAGCCACATGTTGCCCGTCCGACCAGCTTTCACATCAGCACCCCCTCTGGGAGCCATGACCTTCTCAGCATCTCGAAAGACCCAAAGCCCACTGCCCACTCCAGGCCTAGCAACTCAGCCTCCTTCCTTAGGAAGAAAGGAATATATAATAATGATTTGGCCCCCCACAGGGCCAAATCAGAGCTCTGTCCACCAGAAAGCCTTCTCTGGGTGCACTGTCCACACAAGCCTACCTTCTCTGGGGTCCTGGCAAACATCCCCCTACCCACTGGCTGGTCTTCTGCCCTTGTGTGTGTACTGTACTCTCTGACGAGTCTCTGCCCAAACAACACATGAGCTCTGTACAGAGAATGAGTCTCCCTCTCTCCAGCCTCCCCTCACTGCCCTCTGCAGGTCTGGGCAGAGCACTCACTCTACAGAGTTTAATTGAAGGCTGGTCTCTATTAGGGGAGCTCCGTGTATATCTCAGTTGTCCTCAGCTTGATCTCAACATAATTTTGGAGAACAGATGCTTCTTACCCTCCTAGCCCTAAGGCCAGGCCATCACTCAGCTCCCTGGCCATTTACTGCCTCCTGCGTCCTGCCGTCACAAAAGCCCCTCTTCCCTCAAGCCTGTTCCCCTCATCACAGATCATCACACACAACTTGGGTTATTTTCTGCTTGCTCACGTGTGGAACTCCTCAGGCCTGGAAGATGTCTAACCATATGGTGCCATTTGCTCTTCTGGGGCTTTCGCTTGGTATGACTCTGGGCTGTCTAACTGGACACTGGATTCTTCCCAGGATTTTATCCTGGGATTTTATCCTGACTAGCCAGAGCTAGTCCAGGATTGTCCTTTCTCTGCTGATTCCAGTGGGAGATTGGAAGGGCTGGATAATGCAAGAATGACTGAGTGGTGATGCCACCAAGCTAAGCCATGCAGCCCTTGGGGGCTAAACTGCTGTGTGAGGTCTAATCTGCTTATCTTCACCTGGGGCCCGTCTCCTTCTGGAAAAGTATCTACCTGGGGTGTGTGCAGCATCCCAACCTTAGGGCCCAAATAATAAATACAGCATTGCTTCCCAAAGTCAGATTAGCCATTGGTGTCTAACCTCCATCCTGAGCACCTGCTGTGTGCCCATGCTTGTCCAGAGGGGTAGGAGGAGCCAGATTACTGGGTTCCTGCCCTTCACCAGTTCACAGTCTAGTTGGACACAGATTCACAGGCAGGAGAGTCATAGCAGGTCGGAGGCTGCATGGCTGTGGTCTGGACCATAGAATGTGGTTCAGTGTGTGCCAGAGGGAGAGAAGTGATGGTGGCTCACGTGGAAGGAAGCTGAGCATAAAGGGGCCTTCCTCCATCCTTGAGGTGGAGGGACAAAGGGAAGTGAGGAGCAGGGAATAATGGCATACATAACTATACCACCTGAGCCAAGATTCCCCACCACACGGGGCTTCCTGACATACCCAAAGATGAATCAGCAACAAAGAGTAAACCCCGAACACAGAGAGAAAATGAGAAGCAATTGTCCCCAGCCTCCCACTTCCACTTGCTTGCTTTCTGCCACTCAGTGGATGAAATAACTGTGGCCATGAAGTGGCACTTGAAGAAAAAGTTTTAAATCTGTTTAAATGTCACAGTGAGTAATACTTTGCCCCTATCTTTCCCTAATTACATTTCTCTTTGATGACCTAAGGTTAAAAAAAAGACATTAACACAAGTCTTTCTAGAATATCAAGGGCAAGGATACCAAAAAGCCAACATAACTACGTCCCTCACTCTTTTCTCAGGGGTCCTGCTCCTTCACTGCATTAGTATGACACACCTGTCTCTGTTATTGTATCCCCAATACTCTGCTGTGACAGAGAGGTGGGAGCCTAAGAGATCCAGCTCTGCGCCTTTAAGAGATCAATGCCTCTGGCAGAAGCTGCTTCTGCTGCTGTTTACACAGGGTAGCTCGGTTTTATGGGGCCTGGTGTCCTGGTTGCTTCTGCCCCAGCAAGCTGGGGGGAGGTGGGGCATTTTACCATCTACCTGCCAGAAAGCTAGGAATGTGCTACCCCTAAAAGGAGACAGCCCAAATCCAAAATAAGCCATCCTCAGGTGGGAGAGAGGGGAGAGTGACGGACCTTCCTCTAAGGAAGAAGGAGCTCTGCACAGCTTTGGGGTCACACGGAAAGGCACAGGGAGTGCCAGTGGTGCAGAGGCACAGGCCTGGAGCGAGTTGATGCTATGCTGCACAGAGTTTTTACGGCATCTGAAAAAACCACATGCCCCCTTTCATCAACAACTCCACTCTCCCACTCACTCCTGCCTAGAGACTGCTTTTATTTATGTATTGGCTATTATTATTAATAATAGTATGAATAATGAAATAACTGTGAACAATTTACTTGGACCTGGGGGTGAAGAGGGGCAGGAAGAAGAGGGTGAACCTCCATGCCCTCCCCTGTGCAGGCCCTCCTTTCCCTGCCCCTCTCAGCAGCTCCCTTCACTTCCCCTTGTGCCCCCTCCACTTTGAGGGGTAGGGACAGGGAGAGCAGACCCTCAAGTAGGAATTACTCTCCTAAACTCCCTGTTATTGCAGAAAATATATTCCACTCTGTTGTGAGATCTTGGGAGGTAAGCACCAGCACCACAAGATGATGTTGGAGGAGATATTTTGGACAAAGATATTGGCCTCTGCTGATGTGTCCTGAGGGACAGGGGAGTGGGTCTCAGCCTGGTGGGTACAAACACAAACTCTTTCACTCTCTCCCTCTCTCTCTCTCTCTCTCTCTCTCTCTCTCTCTCTCTCTCTCACACACACACACACACACACACACACACACACACACACAGACACACACAGGCAGAGTGTGGATACAAACAGGGTCTATGTACACATTGACACTGCATCCACACAAGCACCCACAGTTCTGAAAAGACATATGTGCACACCTCCAAGCCACCACCTCAAACCCTCCATGTGCTGAGCAGGGTCCTGCCACCTTATTACAGCACTTCACAGGCTCCCCAAGCACACAGCCACATGGCAGAGAGACTGTGTGAGTTCCAGTTAGATTCCATCAACTTGGTCGATTCTTACACCATCATATAACACTGGATAATGTAAACCCGGGAGCCCAGTTATGAATTAACTATACTTACACACGGTTCCATCAAGCAAAGGCAGGAGAATCTTAAAATGAAAGGATGAAGTTCCACAGTTCCCAGAATTGTACTTGCTGTCTGTTTGGGGCCCTGGATCCTCAGGGAGAGGTGTCCCGGGTGGGCCCGGGGCCTGGGGCTGCGAACCTCAAGGCCTCCTCGGGCCTCGTCCTGGCGCTGGAGAGCTCTGCGTTGTGGTTGTACCAACGGGCTTGGTCCCGGTTTTCAGGCAGCTGGGGTCTCATTTCTCTAAATAAAATTTTAAATATATCGTCTACTAACGTCATGTAATCCGATGGCAAGAAAAGAGAAACCCAGAACACCCGAAAGGCGCCGGTGGGGCCCGGCCAGGGTGAGGCCAGCAGCTCTGCCCCGAAACTCTCGGGGCAACGGGCGCGTTATTTTAATTTTCCCGGCTTCTGAAGCCGAGAAGAGGCTGCCCTGGAAAAGCAAATGTGGGAGAGGATGGAGTGCAGGTAAATATCATTGAAATGAAAAATCTGCCCTCCCAACCCAAGTTCACCACCAGCTCTCGAGAGGCGGAGCTGCTTGGACCGAGCACCCGCGCCAGCCACTCCCTATCCCACGTAGCCGAGGTTCTGGCTCCCGCAGAGTCCAGGGCGGGTTGCCGAACCCTTTGGCTCTCGCTGGCGGCCGCGACTCCCAGCCTCGCACTTCGGAAGCGGGAGGTGCTGCAAATGAAGCCCGTGGGGGCAGCGCAAGCCGCGCGAGTCTGGTCCGGGTGACGATTCGGGGGGCTTTATTTCTTTGGTGGTGGATTAAGTAAAAAAAAAAAAAAAACAATTCAGCCTGAACCAGTAAAGCAGACGAGGGCAAAATCAAGCCGATCCCTAGAGCTGGCTCACCGGTCACCGCGTCCAAAGCCTGCCTTCTTCCCCGGTGGGCGAGCGGGCCGAGGCGCCCGGCTGCTACCTTCCTCCCGCCAGCCGCCCGCCCGACTAGCGGCCGCGCTTCGGAGCAGAGGAGGCCGTCCGGGACGGAAACTCCCATCTCTAGCCTTCTCAGGCAGATTGGGAAGAGGTTCGGAATCCGAATCTCTACGCGCATCACGGCCCAACCGTTCCCCAGTCCCGATCTCCCAGGTGGCTCGGGTGGCGGTAGAGGCTGTGCGTGAGGGCGAAGATTTTGGGCTGCTCTGGCAGGTTGGGGGCACAAGGAGGAAAACAGCTGAGAGAGACGGAGAGAAAGCGCGCGCGAGAGAGAGAGCTCTTGTCCATAGATTTATCCACATAATATATATTTATGTAGCCTTTTTTCTCTCGACACTGATCAATGCGCACTCGGATCGCTGGGCGGACTCCCTCCAAGCCGGCTCGCTTTTTCTAGTCTAAATAAATAAATTAAGGGAACCAGATGGGAGAAAAAGCGCCCATTCCACCTCCGCCGTCGCCTTCACCGCCGCCCCGCCCGCCATCCCTGCCTTTTGCTTCGCCCGCTTGGCGCCCTAATAGAGCGCAGCTCGGTGGAAAACAAACCCCTACATACCCACACGAAAATGAAAATCAATGTTTTTAAAATACAAAAGTTGCACCTGCTGCTATTATAAAAAGAAGCCCCCAAAGGCAAAGAGGGGGCCAGCATCCCCGTTTCTAACATGCACCCGTTGCCCGCGGCCGCCGGGCCCGGAATCTCAGCGCCTCCCGAAGAGCCATGCGCCTGGCGCTATTTATAGCCGGGGGCGGTCTCGGACTGTACCACCGCCGCTCGCCGGCGCCGCTGACGGGGGAGGCGCGGCGGGGCAGGCGCCGCCCCACGCCGCCCTGCTCCCGGCCGCCGCCCGCCGCCCGTCGCCTCGCGGGAGCCCCCCCACCTCGCCCTCTCCCAGCCCTGCGTCCCCTCCCCTGCGCGCGCTCACTCGCCACCCCCACCCCTGGTCTGACTGGGAACTTGAACCGGTCCAGCCTGTTTAAACGGAAAGGACAGAGATCCTGTCTGTTTGAGAGAGAGAAAGAGAAGAGAGAGGAGAGAGGGAGGGAGAGAGAGCGCGAGGAGAGGAGCGAGAGAGCGCGAGTGCGATCGAGCGAGAGAAGAGAGGAGAAAGAGCAGAGAGCGAGAGGAGAGCGAGGTGTGGAGAATCCGAGGGGGAGAGAACCCGAGTGTGTGTGTGCGTGTGCGCGTGTGAGCGCGAGCGAGCTTGCGAGGGAGAAGAACGAGAGAGTGCGAGCGAGAAAGAATAAAAGGAAAGAAGATTTTCTCTATGTATATAAAGATGGCCACGTTAGCAAACGGACAGGCTGACAACGCGAGCCTCAGTACCAACGGGCTCGGCAGCAGCCCGGGCAGCGCTGGGCACATGAACGGATTAAGCCACAGCCCGGGGAACCCGTCGACCATTCCCATGAAGGACCACGATGCCATCAAGCTGTTCATTGGGCAGATTCCTCGCAACCTGGATGAGAAGGACCTCAAGCCCCTTTTCGAGGAGTTCGGCAAGATCTACGAGCTTACGGTTCTGAAGGACAGGTTCACAGGCATGCACAAAGGTGAGTGCACCTTTCCCTCCCAACTTTGCCGGGGAGAAGGAGCTGGCGGGCGGGCCGGCCGGCCGACAACTGACAAGGGGTAGACAGCGCGAGAGGGAGCCTCGGGCGGACGCCGAGGAGGGAGGCGCTCAGGCAGCGGAGACCAGGACTGGGGTGCGTGGGGAGCTGCTCGCGGGGGCAAGGCTAGGTTTTGAGCGAGCAGCTGATAGAAGCTGCGCTGTGGGGAGAGCAGCGGGAGAAGAAGATGAAGAGAAAGAAAAAGAGGATCGAGGTGGAACGGGTCTTGGATTTGGGGGCACAGCGACTTGAAACATTGGGATGGGGACAGCTGCACCGGCCGAGCCCGGGACGCTAAGCAGACTGGCGGGAGCTTGGCGGGCCAAGGACCGAGGGTGCTGTCCATCGCCGTGGTGCTGAAAACACTAAGAGGAGATGATCTCCTTCGCTCCTGGCCAGAGTAGCAGGAGCGCAGCCGTCTAAAAAGGAGAGAGGTGACAAATTCGAATACATATTTTTATTTCTCTATCAATTTAACAGAAAACTCCCTGTCAATGTGTGCCCCCAATATCCGGTTGTGGTGTGAGGGGGGTGGGGAGTGAGTGTTGGATGTTTGAAGGAAAGAGGGACAAAATCTAAGGAAAGAATTAGCAAGGAATGAGCCATCCCCTGGGTGGAGTGGAGGGTCGAGGAAGCCTGGATGATCCCCTTCTCAGGAAAACGGGGCATTAGGGAAAAAAAATATGTGTGTGCAAGATATGCATTTTTGAAGGGTGTAGCCTAAATTATCCCAAACTCACCATGTAGAGGGGTTATAGTATTGCTCTCCCTTGAAACAATCATTTCTAGTGAGTGCTTTGGGGAGGAAGAGAGAGAAAAATCAAAGAATTAAAATCAACAACTTTTTAGGAAAGTGGTCGTGGGAATTGTCTGCAGCCTGCCTGTTTTCTCCTTGTTTTATTATCTTTAAGGCAGAGCCACAAACGTGTTCAGTTGTAGAATGTGTGGGTGGCTGGTGGGTGATGAAATTAGCCCAGTGCTCTGCTTCCTAACAGTAATGTATAGGATGTGCAGTGGGGATTAATCGGGGCTGAAGCTGTGTGGGCAAGTTAAATGCTTTCTGAGAGAGATTGATTGTCAGGCTAGAAGGAGCACCAGGATGAGGAAGTTGTAAGGTATGTGTATGGACGTTCCTTTTTTAATAAACAGTAGTGTGGAGGGCCACTGAAGATGTTGTATTAGAGCTGGTGGTTTTAAAGATGAAAACACACACACAGAGCAGCCTCATCCTTGGCCACAAATGGGCTATGAACAGAGCTGATCCTCCAGCACATTAGGTGCAGAGCGCAGAGCTGTCTGGCTCTCTAAGCAGCAGTGGTTTTCACTATCACAACCTCCCTCCCTTCTCCAGCCCTCCCTTCATCCGAATACTAAGCAGAGCTCCAAACTCTTCATAGTTGGAGTCCCAGAGAGCAGTTTTTATTGGCTTTAGCATCTTTCAGCTTGCCTGCTGAGGAGTAAATCTTAAAGTTAATGGCATGTTGAGTAGCACAAAAACACAGCAGAATGGAAATATACTGGGTTTGTTGGGGTGGGGTAAGGGTGGGGGTTGTAACAGAGAAAGAAACCAACCTTTATCCAGTATAGAGAAAATGTCTGTCTCTTTAGAAGAGAGACTGGAAGGGTAAAACGGGAGGCAGTCTTCAAAATAATATTTGTTTCATCCCCCACAAGTCATATCTCTGTAGCTTTTCCCTTACCAGTCAAGCTCCCTAGAAGCTAATCAAGGTTTGTATCAAACCTTTTTCATTCTAATATGCTCCCAAATTTAAAAATAGTAATAATGAAAATTAAAAAGCCTAGGCAGGAAAATTCTTTGTTCATGTTAATGGTTACTTCTTGTGGCGATTTTAAATTTTAAAGTTAAACAAAAATCAGATCCCGCTAGAGGCAAAGACAGTTGTGAAGAGCTAAGCCTCCTATGAGATAAGGGTTGGAGCATTTTATTTGCTTCTTTATTTCAAATGAAGATAAACTTTAATAATATTCCTTGATTCCTTCTCATGATGCCTTGCTGGTATCATCACTCTGTTTCTGATGTTATTTGGACTCCCGTGTATTTTAGCGAAGTAGAATTATCACAATTTGCTTCAGGAAGCTAAAGAAGGTTATGTATAGTTATTTCCTTTGTATCATATCATCTATACACATACACGTATCTTGTCAGGATTCTTAGGACACGCAAAACTTCATTTTCTAAATAATTCTTCTCCTGAACTGGCTCAGTCAGTGGCTGGCAAGCCCGTTGGCTCCAGCATATTGGGTGCCTCATTGTCGCAGCTCACCCTTCAGAGCCTGAGCATATATTTTTCCCTGTGAAACTTCCTACCTCTCCATCCCTCAGATTTTTATAGGCAAGGTTGGGCCACAATGTCCGTAACAGTGCCTGGAAGCTCTTGGAGAGCTGAATAAATGAGACCATTTCAGAGGTCTGGTTTATTCAGTCCTAGAAGAGTTTGAACTCCTCCTCCAATGATACAGCCTGATTTATTAGCTAATCCTGAAAAATAAGCCTCTGGCCACCTTAAAAAATTACTCACTTGCCATTGGTAATTAATTATTGTTAAGTCAAAAAGCATGATAAGGCTGAAGAATGAGAGCTGCATTTGGATTTTAGATTTTCCCCAACTCTAAATTGACAACATGAGGCTATGGGTGGAAACATGCCTTTGTTAAGCCTGGTTTCAGGGCATATTCATGACACTTTCTCTCCCCTTCTTGAATTTCTAACTTCTAATGAATAATACTGGGATAAAATTGAGAGATATGACATGATACTGGCCTCCAGTATGGATGGCTTACATATATTATTAGTTTTTAAAGGAAGGGGAATAAGTAAAAACTTGAATTAAATGCATAAGATTTCAGGTGGGAATCCATTTGTTGACCACCTGCCATTTCAGTAAACCACAGAAGGAAGGAGTTCTAAGGGTTAATGGAATACCTGCCATGCGTAGAGTGAACCTTAAAAGGCAATTACTCCAGTCAAATTGGGACTCTGTGGAGGAAAGAGTGGGTGGGGGCTTGTGGAGGAAACCCAGACGTATCAGAGAAAGGCTGTTGGGCTGGGGAGGCAGCAAATAGCAGTTGTGGACTGGGGCAATTACTGTAAAGGTAAATTTACTCCTTGGAGACCAGAAGCAATTGGGCAGGGGGACATCTGGATGATAGACAGAGTGAGAAATGAAGAAGAAAAGTACAGAATTACAATTCAAAGAGACAACACCCAAAGAAGAAAACCCAGTTTAATACAAACTCTCCCAGCTAAGTCAGTCTTCTTTTCTCCACCATTAGAAGCACTTTCAGAAAGATTGCTTTTCTAGGCTCCCAAGAGAAAGACATTGTACTATTCATTAAAGAGGAGAAAGACATACTCCCAAGGTAGTAGCAGAAGTGAGCTGAGGACCAATTTTTCCCCTTCCTATAGAATTTTTCTCCCTTGGAGAAAGGAACAGGTCACCCGCTAGTCTCTTTCTTCCCTTCTCTCACTTCTTATTTATTTCTCTTTTCTTCCTTTTATTTCTTGGAGAACAACAGAAGCAGCAACTGAAAATACATACATACACACACATACCCATGCCTGCTAACACACATATACATATACAGTTAGTGGATCACACATGAACAAGCCAGCAATCCATTCATAACTTTGGTCTTGTCTAGCAGGATAAGAGACAGCAAAGACTGAGTTACTGGGAGACATAAAGACTAGTGCTCTCTGGATAGTCATATTATAATGCATTATCTTTGAAGTCATTTAAGTCCAATTTAAGTGGTATTTAGTATAATATTTATGAATTAATGTAATCTAAACATAGGACTGTCCCCAAAGGCTTAAACAGCTTTTGCAACTGATGTGTGCTTGTTCCTGGAGCCTGCAATGCATTTTAATCCAAACAGCCAAGTCCACATCACAGTCCCTCTTGTTAACCAGTCAGAACATATCTGTGCCTGGGTGACCACTCTGCATTGAGATTTTCCCCCAATGCATGGAGGAAAATCTACTCTACTAGCAGCCCTGGGGGCTCCCAACCAGGAGCCATAGCTGCAGTGACTTCAGCTCCTCATACTTTCACACTACATCCAGGGAGAGAGTGGAGACAGTAATGGAACCTTTTGTGGACTGAGCTCCGAGGGTATATCATTTTAAAATATATACATCATAGGATGCACAACCTCTCATTTCAACAGTACCTGAGTCTGAAAGGCCTGAAGTCCCTTGCTTTGGGGTGCGGCTGGGAGAAGAGGAAAGGGCAAGGGTTATGGTTATGTTTTTGGTGATTTGTGACCTTCTTCATAAAATTATGTCTTGTATTTTCATTTAAGATGTAACAATTCCCAGAAATATTGAGTTTCCACTGCTTGATTTTAGCCGAGAAGGCTCATTGTTTTTTTTTCTTAGATAGGTGAATTAAAACCAGCAAAGCTTTATCTGATTTCCTTTTTCAAATGAGTCTAAGAGACAGAGAAACTGAAGTATCAGCATGGGCATCAGCTCAATTAATATGAACTCTTTTTTAAAAAATAACTTTGAAAAATAAAATTTTCAGGTCTGTCCAAAGAAGGAGAATGGTAGAATGGCTAGGCACACACCTATAGCTTTTAAAAAGAAAGATTTGTCTTGTGAAAAAAAAAATAAGGAAAATAAGATCGCTAATTAGAAAAGAAGAAAAATATATATATATATTTTTATTTTGGTACCATTAATCTACAATTACATGAAGAACATTATGTTTACTAGGCTCCCCACTTCACCAAGTCCCCCCCACACACCCCATTACAGTTACTGTCCATCAGCGTAGTAAGATGCTGTAAAATGAAGAAAGGGAAACATGGGGAAAAATATTTTTTAAAGATAAGTTTCACTAAAGAAAATGAGCCATAGTAATCATTTCAAAACTAAAGCAAACCAAAGCAACAGCCCTGTAAAAAAAAAAAAAAAA